AGCATCCAACAGAACCTGGAGCATGTTTTTCCACGTGATTTCGATATTCTTCGGTGTGCCAAAATGTGTGGGTTATCCTAATTTGCCTCAATTCCTGGAAGTGCCTGCTGCAATCAGCCAGATTAAGGATTTTATGTGTTTTGTGAAGCTCTCTCGTGTATTATCAATGTGGTACTTAAGTTGAACACCTGTGGGGCCCGTCTGGATCGTCATTCCTGCACTGCTGTGGGTGGTGCCAGAAAGATGTCAGTCGCCTACTCCCTCCAGCAGTCACGGAATACTGTCTCCTTACAGCGACATGATGGACACCGCTACCGCTGATGACATTAAAACGCGTTTACAGTGTTTTAATCATCCGGAACACATGCATTTGTGGAAAAAAATCTTTATATCGCTATCTCTAGAAGATGGGAAACCTTATTACTTCTTAACACCAGGATCAATGAAAAAGTAATTAAAAAACGAAGCAAGACCGGTCACTCATGGCTCTTCAACTTTACTCGGTCTACTTTACTTAATTGCCGCAGACCATCGCGTACGAGTTGAGCAACTTGCACAGCGTAGACTGAGGCATGGACTTCTGTTGTCTTAAGACACCCGCTGACAGGCATCGGCCTTGGACGTGGCAGTACATTCTTCGGTATCTTGACGCCATGAGCACGTTAATGGGAACCAAACCTCGGCCACTGTTATGCTTGGGTTGATAACACGGGGCAAGACCAGCGGAAATAGCATTATTCGCTTACAGATCACTCAGAAATCGCGGTCGAGCAATCCGCACACGTTGACGAGGACACGTCTTTTTACACGGGGATTGCGTGCGTTCGTGTAGCCCACCATGCACCCGCGTGCTCTAGGACTGCGGCCTGAACCGCCGGGTGGACGCAGACGGAATCACAGCCGGTGTGCGCCGAGCCACCCGCGTCCTGTAGGACCGCGGCCTGAACCGCCGGGTGAACGCAGACCGAATCGCAACCGGTGTGCGCCGAGCCACCCGCGTCCTCTAGGACTGCGGCCTGAACCGCTGGGTGGACGCGGACCGAATCACAGCCGGTGTGCGCCCAGCTAATGGCTTCCTGTTAGTCTTCGCCTGCTGGAGGCAGATCTACCATCTGCAATGTAGCATTGGTTGGTGAAGCGTCGCCTCTCTGGATCGGGCGGCTCAGTGAGAAGCGGCGCCGGTAACGCTGGTCTGAGGAGGTCACTGCCATTTACCACCCATGCTCAAGCTGTCGATCTCCGTAGTGTGTTCGGTGATCGGCAATGGTCATCTGACTGACGTGCTGCCATTCACTGCAGGGCCAGGCGGCGTGGAACAAACT